GGCATGTGGATCTTCAGGGTGAAGCGGCCGCCGGGTTCTCCGCCTGTCTTCAAGGCGCGTTACGTGGCTCGTGGCTTCAGTCAGCGGCAGGGAGTTGACTACTTTCAGACCTTCTCCCCCACCCCGAAGATGACCACTCTTCGGGTACTGCTGCACGTTGCTGCTCACCGTGACTACGAGCTGCACTCTCTTGACTTCAGCACAGCTTTCTTGCAGGGCAGCCTGCACGAGGAGATCTGGCTGCGTCGCCCACCTGGCTTCACTGGGTCTTTCCCTCCTGGTACCCAGTGGAGTCTCCGGCGTCCAGTCTACGGTCTCCGCCAGGCGCCACGTGAGTGGCACGACACACTGAGGACTACGCTTGCGGCTCTTGGGTTTGCTCCTTCTACTGCCGACCCGTCGCTGTTTCTACGCACCGACACCTCTCTGCCGCCGTTCTACATCCTCGTGTACGTCGACGACTTGGTCTTTGCCACAGCTGACACTGCTGGACTCGCCTACGTGAAGTCCGAGCTGCAGAAGAGACACACGTGCACAGACCTGGGTGAACTGCGCAGCTACCTTGGCTTGCAGATCACCCGGGACAGAGCACGCCGCACCATTACCCTGACTCAGTCACACATGGTGCAGCAGGTCCTTCAGCGCTTCGGCTTCACGTACTCCTCGCCTCAGGCCACTCCTCTGTCTACTCGCCACTCGCTCTCAGCTCTGCCTTCGGATGAGTCTGTAGAGTCGAGTGGCCCGTACCCAGAGCTTGTTGGCTGCCTCATGTACCTGATGACCTGCACACGACCTGACCTTGCATACCCTCTTAGCATTCTTGCACGCTATGTTGCTCCTGGGAGACACAGACCAGAGCACATGGCTGCAGCGAAGAGGGTGTTGCGCTACTTGTGCAGTACGTCGGGCATGGGGCTAGTGCTTGGAGGGCGGAGTCCAGTGGTCCTCACTGGGCACGCGGACGCTTCTTGGGCTGACGACCAGGCTACGCAGCGGTCGTCACAGGGTTACACCTTCAGCCTTGGTTCCGGCTCTGTTTCGTGGCGGGCTACTCGCTCGTCTTCTGTTCTTGGCTCGAGTTGTGAGGCTGAGATCTACGCCGGGGCCATGGCTGCACAGGAGCTTCGCTGGCTCACCTACCTGCTGACCGACCTTGGAGAGCCGCCTCGTTCTCCTCCAGTCCTGTACGTAGACAACAAGGCCATGCTGGCCTTGTGTCGAGAGCAGAGACTGGAGCACAGAACAAAGCACATTGCTCTCCGCTACTTCCTTGCTCGTGAGCTACAGCAACGTGGACAGTTGCGGCTTGCGTACGTGGCCTCTGAGGCCAACACTGCTGATGTCTTCACCAAGGCACTTCCGCCTTGTGATCATCAGCGCTTCTGCACTCAGCTGGGTCTTGTGCCCGTCTTGCCTCACTTGCTCTCCTCTTGACCTTGCTTGTACTCTCACATATATATATACCTGCTCTTGCTTGTCTAGCTTTATATATATGTGTGTACTCTTGCATGTGAACTGGCCGTGTGGCCTTGACCCTGTGCTCGGACTGTGTGGTGACTTTGTGATCTACCCTGAGCTTGCTTTGCTTTGCTTTGCTTGACTGGTCTTGTGACCCCTTGTTCTCCCCCACTTTGCCTATGGGGGTGTGTCAGAACATTATAGCTTATGCTGTTGTGTAGGCTATAGTGGGGTATCCCATAGGGGGTACAACCAATTAGGGTTTCATATTTGTACTCACTTCATTTTCATAGTTCACTCATTCTCGTTCTCATTCTCACAGGCGTGCCTCCAACTCCTGTCCCCTCAGTACCAGCTCCTACAGTGCCAGCACCTCCTGCTTCAGCACCCCCAAAACTAGCGCCAGCACCTCCAGCTCCAGCACCCCCAGAACTAGCGCCACCTGCGCCAGCACCTCCAGCTCCGGCACCCCCAGAATTAGTGCCTCCTGCGCCAGCACCTCCAGCTCCAGCACCCCCAGAACTAGCGCCACCTGCGCCAGCACCTCCAGCTCCAGCACCCCCAGAACTAGCGCCACCTGCGCCAGCACCTCCAGCTCTAGCACCCCCAGAACTAGCACCTCCAGTGCCAGAACCCCCAGCTCCAACACCCCCAGAGCTAGCGCCACCTGCGCCAGCACCTCCAGCTCCAGCACCCCTCGAACAAGCACCCTCAGACCGAGTACCGCCAGTGGCTGCACCTCCAGCTCCAACACCAACCGAGTCCACAGGAACCTGTCGTGGAAGTGCCAAAGGTTGACGAGGGGACTATGAGGAGGAATGCGGGGAGGGAGACGCTACCTGACGCGCGACCGAGGGTAGAGGGGTAGCGTGAGACACACCTGACGGGGCAGGACCGGGGGGGGGGGGGGTGGGGGGACCGGAGGAACGGGAGCAGGGGGAAGAGAGGGTGCGAGGAAGAGGGGGGGAGGGGGAACCGGGAGACCTCGACAGGGGTATCGGGTGTAGTAGGACACGGACTCGTCAAACCGGACATCACGAGAGTCGAGAAACTGGTGGAGGGGCGGGTGGTAAAAGGATTAGTCAGGAGAGCCCACCGGGAAGCCAAGGAAGACACAGGGGATGGCGTGAGCCGAGAGCTTGTCCGCAGAGGTGTCGCGGACAAGCGCAAGGCAGCCCCAGACGTGAAAGGCCGACCCAACACCAGTGGACCCAGTCCAAAGACTGGTCGGTGAAACCTCTGGCCGCGAGACACGCGGCTGGAGGTTCAGCTGGTGCGCGGCGTAGCGCAGCGCATAGGGCCACTGAAAATGGGGCGCACGGGCATGGATCATGGACGTGCGGGCGATGTCCATGACCAAGCCAATGTGGCGCTCAGCAACCCCATTCTGCTGTGGGGACTCCGGCAGCGTCCAGGTTTGTCTGATGCCCTGCTCGCCGCAGAACCCGGCAAGGACGCTGGAGCGAAACTCACCCCCGTGGTCGGAGTGGAGACAATGGACACGACTACCACAAGTGCCCTCAGTGGCCACAAGCCACCGGATTAGCGTAGAAGTCACCTCGGACTTCTTCGCGAGAGGAAACACCGTGGCGTACCTGGAGTAGTCGTCAACGACCACTAGAAAGTAGCGCTCCCTCTCAGGTCCTAGCGTGGGGGCAGGGCACCAGACGTCCAAGTGGAGAGTCTAGAAGGGAGCAGTGGCCGGACGAAGAGAGGAGGAGTGCAGAGTGGCGCGCAGGCGGCCGGCGACGCAAGGAGTGCAAGGTGGAGCAAGCGAGGGAGGGAGCGACGCAAAGACGCTCGGGGAGACCTGAGACAAGACTGTGACTAGCCATGCTGCGGAGGCGGGGGATTGACGGGTGGCCAAGACAGTGGTGCCACAAGACGGTCGGGTGGGCGCGAGACCGACAGGAGCAAGACGCAGCAACCTGACCAAACGAACCAACCTGACTAGACACAACAACCGGAGGGGATGCAGTAACCTGACCGGACTCTGCTACCTGGGGGGACGCAGTCACCTGACCGGACTCTGCTACCTGGGAGGACGTAGTGTGCAGAACAAAAAGACCTGAGTGGGGCTCCCTGGTGAAAGTGGCAAGAAGTGCCCCGGTGGAAGCGTCAGTACAGATTGCAGTCCTCTCGTGTGCAGAAAAAGTGACTGTGATCCCACGGTCCTGAAGGTATCCAACACCCACCAAGTTCCGAGAGAACGAGGGGATGTAGAGACCAGTGAGGAAACCAGAAGGGACAGCCGGGCACGGGAGAGTGGTCGAGCTGCGAGCGACTGCTGGTCCTGAACTAGGATCAGCCAGGGCAACTGGGACTGGAGCCATAAGAGGTGTGACAGAGGTGTGGTCGCAGAAGAAGCAATGCGACGCGCCTGAGTCCAGCGTGAAGGAGAGCAACGCGACAGCAGTTGTCACGGCTGGACTAGTGACTACACAAGCACCTACACTAAAAGCACAAGTACCTACACTAGCAACAGGCAAAGAGCCTAAGCTGGGTACACACAAGCCAAGAGACCCATACGTGACAGAATAAGCAACATCCATAGACATATCAAACACAGGGTAACCACTACGAGACAGACCGGGCCAGATCGGTGGCCTCGACTCAGACCCAAAACGCTCACGGTAAAGGTTGTCGAGGCGACTGTAGCAGCGGTGTGCAGAGTGGTCAGGACGCCAGCAGGAAGTGCCAGCACCAGGGCCAGTCAGGATCCGGTAGTGGCAGGGGCCGATGTCGCGACCACCGCGATGAGCCCCCCAGCTGGCTGGGCCGCTGCTGCAGCCAACGCTACCCGAACCACTAGGCCCTCATGGCTGCTGAGGGCGCCACTGCTGCTGAGGGCGCCACTGATGCTGAAGGCGCCACTGCTGCTGAGGGTGCCACTGCTGATGAGGGCGCCACTGCTGCTGAGGTTCCCACTGCTGAAATGGCCGCTGCTGCTGTCCCTGCTGCTGGAGAACTCTAGTGGATGCCATAGTGAAACTACGTGAGGAACGGCCGGAGCACGGAGAAAACTGAGCTAGAAGCGACTGGAGCAGGAATGGCGGGAGTGAGACACAGCCGGAGCTAGAATCGGCAGGCTAGAAACTATGGGCTCGAGGAGCGGCTGGAGCGAGGAGCGAGAACAACTAGGAACGCCAGGTGAAACTAGGCGAGGAGTAGCGGCCTCCAGCCGCGGCGGAACGGTGAACCCAGTGAAGGAATGGTAGAGAACAGGAAAATCGACGGTGAGAAAACCTGAGAACGGCCTGCTACGGGCCGGGGCGCGCTAGAGGTGCCAGTCGCTGCAAGAGGTGCCAGTGGGCGGCTAGAAGGAGCTGTGGGCGGCTAGTAGGAGGTGTGGGCGGCTGGGAGGAGGTGTGGGCGGCTAGGAGGAGGTGTGGGCGGCTGGGAGGAGGTGTGGGCGGCTAGGAGGAGGTGTGGGCGGCTAGGAGGAGGTGTGGGCGGCTAGGAGGAGTTGTGGGCGGCTAGGAGGAGGTGTGGGCGGCTAGGAAGGTACATGAGGTGCTGGGGCGCGCATGTCTGGCCAGGGCATGGGCGCGCGCTGCTATGCCCGGGTGGCGCGCGCTGCCCTGTACGTGGGCGCGCGCTGGACTGCAGGGGTGCGCGTTGCTCTGCACGGGCGACGCGACGGGCTGGGGCAGGGCGCACGGGCGACGCGTCGGGCTGGGGCAGGGCGCACGGGCTACGCGACGGCTGGGGCAAGGCGCACGGGCTACGCGACGGGCTGGGCAGGGCGCACGGGCGACGCGACGGCTGGGGCAAGGCGCACGGGCTACACGACGGGCTGGGCAGGGCGCACGGGCGACGCGACGGGCTGGGGCAGGGCGCACGGGCTACGCGACGGGCTAGGGTAGGACGCACGGGCTACGCGATGGGCTGGGGTGGAGGCGCGATACGGAGGGCGTGGAGGGCGCGTAGGGGAAGGCTAGGCACGGAGGCGCAAAGGGCGTGTTACAGAGGGCGCGGAGGGCGCGTTACGGAGGGCGCGGAGGGCGCTAGGGCGTGGAGGGCGCTTGGGCGCGTGACGGAGGGCGCGTAAGGCGCGGAGGGCGCTAGGGCACGTGACGGAGGGCGCTAGGGCGCGGAGGGCACTAGGGCGCGTGACGGAGGGCGCGTAAGGCGCGGAGGCGCGCTAGGGCGCGGAGGGCTCGAGGGCGCGAGCTAGGCTAGGCTAGGCAAGGATTCTAAACCTACTCGTGATACCATCTCAGAAATAGAATGCAATGGAATGGTTTGGAACTAGCAAGATGGGATACAAGTACTCAACCCTAAAAAGGGTTGTAATCCCTAGAGTGCTACTCATTGTAGCCTAAGAACCTATAATAACATTTGACAGGCTGTCATGCAAACCGCTGACCGTTCGATCACTGATCCAACGGCATCGTCACGTCGCGAACGAAGCCGACGAATCCGATTCTCACTCAGCATTGAATAACCAGCAGTCGCCATCTCTCTCGCTAATCACCGCCGCGACTGCCGCCGCTTGTTCTGCTTCTCTTCTCCTCGCGCCGTCGGCGTCTGCGGTGTCACTCGAGGGCCTTGCGTCGGTAGCGCAAAACGCGGCAGTGATCGCGGAGATTTCGTCGGATGCGACGTCAGCAGTGGGTGCCGTTCTGGGTCCGCTTTTCGCGGCACTTAACTTCCTCTTTATCCTCCGCATTGTCATGTCGTGGTACCCCCAGGTGGGTGTGACCGTAAGGAGGGAATGGTCTCAAATTAGGTGTGACTGTAAGGAGGAGATGGTGTCACGGTATGTGTGGCGTGGCTGTTGGGAAATGACCGTGTGAGCTAGGGTTGATCTTTATCCTCCACATTGTCATATCGTGGTACCCGTCAGGTGGCTGTGACATAACGAGTGTGCGTGTCAATCAGGTCAGGTGTAACTATAGGGAGGGAAGGCTCCATCCTATCCTCTACGTCGTCATGTTATGCTACCCCCAGGTGTCATTATAAGGATGGAATCTTGTAGCGGTGGGTGTGAGGAGGGTACGCAGGATAGAATGCGATGATGACGTCATGATGATGTCATGACGATGTCATGGTGATGTCATCGTGACGTCCTGAGAGCGCCAGATGTGACAGTAGGCTGGGTTTAGCATACGAGTGGCGTGTAAAGTACTTCGGTGTAGAGGTTTTGCGTAAAGAGTATCTGTGTGTTCGGTTGTCGGCAGTTCAACTGCTTTATGCTTGATTCCCGTCCCTCCAACCCCCTCTCCTCCCCCTCTCTCCACTCTACACCCCCTTCTTCCCCTTTTCCCCCCTTCATCCCCCACTCCTCCCTCTCTCCCCTTCCCCTCCCCCCCCCCCCCCCCCCCCCCCACTCCTCCCCAGCTCCCAGTGAGTTCCCTTTCATCATCACAGGCCTATATGCCCACCCAACCCATCCCACCCAGCCCATCCCACAGAGCCCATCCCACCCAGCCTATCCCACCCAGCCCATCCCACCCAGCCCATCCCACCCAGCCTATCCTCAGCCCTCTAATGATGCACACGTTGCTTGTGTGCGATTTACCTCCCCACACACTCCCTCCCCCCTTCCCCCCTCTCTGACTCCCAGTCTCCCCATGCATCGTCCCTTTCATCATCTCATCTCCCATGCACGCACCGAGCTTCGGCCTATTACTCATGCTAACCCCCCTACCTGCTGTATGCATGACCCACCCTAACCCCCCCTCTTCCATTGCCTCCTCCTAACCCCCCCTCCTCCCCTCCCTCATTGCCTCCCCCATCCTTCTCTTCTCCCAACCCCTCTCCCCTTCTCTCGACCACCCAGTGTGCGAACTCCCCTCATCATCGCCTATTCCGCTAGCTCTGATGAAGGATTGACGTGGGGCCTGTCCCAGTAGTCCGAAACACGTTTGCTTTTTAATATCTTTTAGTGGACTTAGAGCATGAAAACGTTTCAATCCAGCTTTTTTCTGAGACTGGCAACAAGGAGTAGTACTCTCCTGTTCTTTCTTCTGCTATAGTTTTTCTCCTATGCTGCAGCTTGCCGAGTCTTCATGGCTGACGAGCTCCCCTCATCATTGCCTATGCACCCACGGAGCCCATCAGTGGTTCGCCCATCTCACCCCCCTTCTCCCTCTCCCCCCACTCCCCCCATTCCCCCCTCCAGCTCCCAGTGTCGGAGTCCCCTTTCATCATCGCATATGCACCCACGGAGTCCATTCTCCGCATCACCCGAGCCTTCACCCCTTTACCCCCCCCGCCCCTCCTTCTCAACTTCCCCCTCCTCCAGCTCCCAGTGTCGGAGTTCCCTTTCATCATCGCATATGCACCCACGGAGTCCATTCTCCACATCACCCGAGCCATCATCCAGCCCATTGGGGGGGTCGACATCGCCCCCATCGTGTGGCTTGCACTCATCAGCTTTCTCAACGAGATCTTGCTGGGCCAGCAGGGGCTGCTCGTTCTGATAGCGAACCAGGAGTCTCTATTGAAGTAGAAGGAATTTGAGTAGAGGAGATGGATTGACTTGACTGATAGCATCGTTGGCCCCATTGTGTGGCTTGCACTCATCTCATCACCATTCTCCGCGTCACCAGAGCTGTCATCCAGCCCATTGAGGGGGTTGACATCGCCCCCATCGTGTGGCTTGCAGCCTGGCACTCATCAGCTTTCTCAATGAGATCTTGATTGGGCAGCAGGGGCTGCTCGTTCTGATAGCGAACCAGGAGTCTCTCTTGTAATCGTCAAAGGTTTTCGAGTTGTGTTAGAAATAACGAATGGAGATCTGTCAAGGCATTGCCCCCATTGTGTGGCTGGCGGCGCTCGTTACGTCAGCCTTCTCAACGAGATCTTACTGGGGCAGCAGGGGCTGCTCCTGCTGATAGCGAACCAGGAGTCTCTCTTATAATACTGTAGAAGGTGTTGAGATAATATCGAGACTTATGCACTTCAAGGAATTCGTGTAGTTAGAACAGTAAAAGTACCGATAGGCTGACGTCAGCAAAGCGCTACGCGCCCTAGGATGACGTCATAAGTAGCCGTAGGTTTCGCGAATAGTTACGTACCGTTTCAAGATAAGAACAGCACAGTACAATAGGCGAACAGGTACTTTATCCTATTATATATTCTGTATGCTTGTCATTTTATAATATACTTGATTTCAGAGACTTTTGATCCTGTTACAAGTCACTCATATAAAGACTTCCACTACTACAGGAAGCTACTATCCTAAGACTACGATCCTATTCAGACAGTTTAAAATCTATCATGGTATGAGAGCAACTTAGGATTATAACAGCTTCCACCTGCCTACTCTACAACTATGTCTGGATCTCCAAGGTCCAACAATGGCTCTTCTGTTACGAGCCCATCACGCCCAACAGCGTCTCCAGCTGCTGATAATTCACATCTGCAGCAACAACAACAACAACAACAACAATATCAGCAACAACCGATGTACGGCATGCCATTGAGCAGTCAGCCCGTACACACAACTACAGCAGCAGCATCATCGACAGCAGCCGCCGCAACAGCAGCATCAGCAGCCTCAACAGCTGCAGCTGCAGTCCCTGGTTCTTCAAGTCAACCGGGACAACAGTCTAACTTCGTTCCAACTGGACCTTACCAATATCAAGGTGCTTACCAACCAGCAAATCTTCAACGTGTTAATGCTGCCGTCTTGTCGCTTAACCAGATGTTTCCAACTCCGATGAGCATTGATGGCTCCAGTTATCAGCGTGGTCAGATGCCACAAGGAAGTGATGGGTCGAACAACTCTTTCTCCTTTGGTCCTGCTGGACAAGGACAACAAACACAACAAGGGTCACAAGTGCCATCACTCTATCAGCTACAATTAGCTGACGGTACAGGAAATTATATTCCTACTTCTGCAAATCCAACAAAAATCAAAACGACAATGCCTTTTAACGGTCAAGATTTTTATACCTGGAGCTTTGAGTTTGAGCTTCTTGTTCAGACCGCGGGGTTCTGGCAGCTGTATGACGGCACAGCACCATTTCCATCTCACGGGTCACCACTTCAACAAGCCACTTTTCGATCGGCGTCGCTGACTGCATACACAGTTCTCGTTCGTAATCTGACACCGACTGAACAGCTCGGAATTCGTTCTTTTCGTAACAGTGCCGCTCCCGCTGAAGCAGCTTGGTTATACCTGCAAGGGGTTCACATGGCAAAGGATACTGTCAACCAGAGTAAAATTTTGACGCAGCTGTCAAATATACAGATGATAAACGGTGAGAAGGTGACGCAGTATATCAACCGCGCTAGAAATCTGCGCGACCAACTTCAGAAGTGTGGAGGGTACTTCTCCGACGCTATGTTTCACACGGTGCTACTCGCGGGACTTGGACCAGAATGGCGACAGTGTCGCTCTATACTTCGGATGCAAGCACAGTTGTCCGAGGGGGCACTCTGTGCTGCTCTCATCGCCGAGCAGCAGGATATGGATCTGCACAACGCTCGAGGAGGGAAAAAGATGGTAAACACTATAGTCAGTTTTTATTCTAATCCACGTCACAAGCCCGTTTGTTCTTTTTGTCGAAAACCAGGACACACTATCGATACCTGCTGGTCGAAAGACAAACCATCTTGGAAGCGGTCTGCGTCGAAATATAACAAAGATTCTCCAAGTGAAGCAGAGAAGCCGGACGCTGAGAAGCAGAATACTGCGAAGCTGAACTCTGCGAAGCCGACTACTGCACCTGCCAAGACACAAACAAAAGCAGTTACATCAGTTTCAACGGTTTATGATCCTGATGCTGAAGAGCGGATTCACAACCGGTTCAACAACGAACTCAACACACCGATTCCACCTGAGGTCTATGCAAATCTTGAGAAACTGAACGAGAATGAATTGACTAAGGGGAAGTTGGGTACAAATGTAAACCCTAGAAAACTGTACCCCATATGTGCTACCCCACTATAGCCTACAGTAGCTATGTCATATAAATCTGACACACCCCCATAGGCAAAGTGGGGGAGAACAAGGGGTCACAAGACCAGTCAAGCAAAGCAAAGCAAGCTCAGGGTGGATCACAAAGTCACCACACATTCCGAGCACAAGTTCAAGGCCACAAGGCCAGTTCACATGCAGGATTACATATATATATAAGGCTAGACAAGCAGGAGCAGGTGTATATATATATGCAACAGTACAAACAAGGTCAAGGGGTGAGCAAGTGAGGCAAGGTAGGCACAAGACCCAGCTGAGTACAGAAGCGCTGATGATCACAAGGCGCAAGTGCCTTGGTGAAGATATCAGCAGTGTTGGCCTGAGAGGCCACGTACGCAAGCCGCAGCTGACCACGCTGCTGTAGCTCACGAGCAAGGAAGTAGCGGAGAGCAATGTGCTTCGTTCTGTGCTCCAGTCTCTGCTCTCGACACAAGGCCAGCATGGCCTTGTTGTCTACGTAAAGCACTGGAGGAGAACGAGGCGGCTCTCCGAGGTCAGTCAGCAGGTAGGTGAGCCAGCGAAGCTCCTGTGCAGCCATGGCCCCGGCGTAGATCTCAGCCTCACAACTGGAGCCGAGAACAGAAGACGAGCGGGTAGCCCGCCACGAAACAGAGCCGGAACCAAGGCTGAAGGTGTAACCCTGTGACGACCGCTGCGTAGCCTGGTCGTCAGCCCAAGAAGCGTCTGCGTGCCCAGTGAGGACCACTGGACTCTGCCCTCCAAGCACAAGCCCCATGCCCGATGTACTGCACAAGTAACGCAACACCCTCTTCGCTGCAGCCATGTGCTCCGGTCTGTGTCTCCCAGGAGCAACATAGCGTGCGAGAATGCTAAGAGGGTATGCGAGGTCAGGTCGTGTGCAGGTCATCAGGTACATGAGGCAGCCAACAAGCTCTGGGTACGGGCCACTCGACTCTACGGACTCATCCGAAGGCAGAGCTGAGAGCGAGTGGCGAGTAGGCAGAGGAGTGGCCTGAGGCGAGGAGTACGTGAAGCCGAAGCGCTGAAGGACCTGCTGCACCATGTGTGACTGAGTCAGGGTAATGGTGCGGCGTGCTCTGTCCCGGGTGATCTGCAAGCCAAGGTAGCTGCGCAGTTCACCCAGGTCTGTGCACGTGTGTCTCTTCTGCAGCTCGGACTTCACGTGGGCGAGTCCAGCAGTGTCAGCTGTGGCAAAGACCAAGTCGTCGACGTACACGAGGATGTAGAACGGCGGCAAAGAAGTGTCGGTGCGCAGAAACAGCGACGGGTCGGCAGTAGAGGGAGCAAACCCAAGAGCCGCAAGTGTAGTCCTCAGTGTGTCGTGCCACTCACGCGGTGCCTGGCGGAGACCGTAGACTGGTCGCCGGAGGCTCCACTGGGTGCCAGGAGGAAAAGACCCAGTGAAGCCAGGTGGGCGACGCAGCCAGATCTCCTCGTGCAGGCTGCCCTGCAAGAAAGCAGTGCTGAAGTCAAGAGAGTGCAGCTCGTAGTCGCGGTGAGCAGCTATGTGCAGCAGTACCCGAAGAGTGGTCATCTTCGGGGTGGGAGAGAAGGTCTGAAAGTAGTCAACTCCCTGCCGCTGACTGAAGCCACGAGCCACGTAACGCGCCTTGAAGACAGGCGGAGAACCCGGCGGTCGCTTCACCCTGAAAATCCACATGCCACTGACGATGTTCGCCCCAGGCGGGGGAACCTCGTCAACGTAGGTGCCTGTGGACTTCCAGGAAGCCATCTCTGTGTCCATAGCTGCCTGCCACTGAGAGGAGTAGGGACCCTCTATCGCCTCCGCGTAAGAGCGCGGAATCGGGATGTCAAGTGCATCCGGGTCTCCCTCAGGGGTAAGCAGTACGGACACGAGATGAGGTGAAGCAGCAGCCAAACACTGGAACTCCTCCTGCCTGTCCTCAAGGACGTCCGTGCCAAGGGCACACTCACCCCCGACGGACGGAGGACAGACAGACTCAGACTCAACGACAAGACTAGCAGCGTAGTCTAGACGACAGCGAGCAGCAAAGTCGACGAGCTCAGCAACTAGGGCAGACGCAGCAGTGGACTCAAAGGAAGGGTCAGTGACGACCGTAGCAAGGAGACGCGTGACAGTAGGACTGGCAGTACGAAGAGAGTCCGACTCCGGGTCGGGAAGAGCAGGAAGAGAGGACTCAGGAGGAGAAGGCAAAGGGGCACGCAGAGGAGCAGTGGACGGACGCAGAGACATCCGGTGCGTGCCAGGGACAGGAGGAGGACGCTGACGCGAACCACGACCACTAGAGCGAGCAGGACGGACAGGCGACGCAGGGCGAGGCGCAGGCTCACGACGCTCAGCCAGACCTCCAGTAGGACCAGTGTAGGGAGAAGGAGCGGGCAGTGGGGAGGCTGGCTGTAACTGTAACTGTGATGGGACAGGCTGTGGACACTCTAAGGGAGGAGGAGGACCAGTAGAAGGCGGGAGACCAAGAACCTGCTGAAGGAGCGGAACGAAGTACGGCCGAGGCCGCGCGGCGACTCCAGACACGGCAGGGACAGCACCAGTACCCCCAGCGGCA